AAGAGGGAGATGTTAGGCCTGGAAAAGGGCTGTGGAGAGAAGGAAAGTCGAAAGAAAGAAAGAAAGAAAGAAAGAAAGAAAGAAAGAAAGAAGTGGGCAGACGCATCCTGCTCTCTTCAGGAGAGACCCAGAAACTGAAGGCTTGAGCACGACTCCAAAATGTCAAAGGAGGAGGAGACTCCCTTGGTACCTAACACCTAATCAGTATGATCAAGTGACAGTGTCCAGCCTGTGAGAAGGAAAGAAAGTAAAATCTCTGGGACAGTGATACAGAGATGCTTCAGGCATGGGTATAACTGATGTAGGGTACAGGGATTGAGAACAGGGTCCCTGTGAGCGAGCCCCAGAACTCCAGCGGTCAAGTTCATGGTTCAGTAACCCCAGCTCTGGGCACAATTAGGAAATACTCCTTTCCTGAAATAAGAATACTATCACAATACTATCACAAAAGAAAAATATGCCAATAAAGGAACCCGAGAGATTACAAATACAATAGCTAAATGAAAACATTTCTGTGGAAGAACTGGGAAATGGAAGCAAGGAAATATCTCAGAAAACAAGAAAAGTCAAGCATGGGGAAAAAAAGAGAAGAAAAGAAGAGACACAGATTCAGGGATCAGCAAACAGATAATGGAAACCCCAAAAAGAGAAGAACAACTATCACATGGGGTACTTCAAGAAGTGACACGTCTCCAGCTCTTGCAGACAGAGACCCCACATGGCACATTAGCTCCAATGTCGGAACAGCACCAATGCAGAGATAGGCAGGAAGCTCCCGCTCAAGGGAGTTGGGGGAGTCCTTTAGAAGGAAGGAAAAACCTACAACTGGAGACTGTAGGAGGTTTCGCTAAAGAAGGGAATGATGGAGCCATATTTATCCCAAGAAAAGTGAGATGCTAAAAAGGCAAAGACATGTCATCATTCTGCATGTCTTGTCTGGCCAGCAGTGAGAAAGAACCCTTTATTCCTGTGCTGGAATAAAGAAGTCTTAGCCCAGAGGCCAGCCAGCAGCTGTGTGACAGGAGACAGCAGAACAGAGGTAAGCTGAGCTGAGCCAATCATCATTCTCCCCAGGATGGCAAAGCTGGAGGCAGGGGAAAAGTGGTGAAAGGAGGAGCTCAGGAGAGGACCCAGGAAAGCCCTGGGCTTCCTGGGGTCTTGGAGTCTCAGTACTAACGTCTAAATCTATCACTGTGTGTTACTTTGATATTATACAAAAATAACTTGCAACAAAAGTGCCATCTATCACTGCTCCAGGGGACAGACCAATGATGTGATGCAGTTTCAGAGAGTCAAGGTCTCAAGTCTAGTGCCCCGCTGTGCCGATATTCAGAGAAACCCGCCTCTTCCTTAAAAACGAGTTTCACCGCGTCCCTGGAGTCCACTCTCCTGTCCTGACTCAGAGGTCAGATGGAGAATCTCTGAATTCATTTGTGGGAGGATTTGATGCCGGCAACTCGCAGGTTGCTTGCTGGTCCCACGGCTAAAGGCATGCAGGGGACCTCAGGAGAGCCAGAGCAGCACACTGAGCACATATCAGCCCATCACAGACAGAGGGCGCTGTCAATACGCCCAGTCTCCAAATCGTTAGCTCCTTATTTGTAATCAAGAATCTGTAGCATCTAAGATGAACAACATGACGATTGGGGTGGGAAGGGGGCAGACACCCATTGGATCTCAGGGCTTATTGCTGGTTCTGTGATCAGGGCTCATTCATCAAGGCTCAGGGGACCAGATGGGCTGTTGGGGATTGAACCCAGGTCGGCTGTATGCAAGGAAAGCAAGCACTCTATGCACTGTAGTATCACTCTGGCCCACTGTACTTTTGCTGTGGCCCTGCAGCATGGTGATTTGATATACACAGGCATAGTGGAATGCATATGCATCTCCTCAGTTATCTTTATGTGAGTGTGTGTGGTGATAGCTTCTAAAATCTTAGCAAGCAACTAGGATACGGAAGTAACCAAAGTATAGGTTGACAAATGAATGAACAAAGAAAATGTGCTAACCCCCCTCCCACACACACACATTCAAAACAGATGGTTCAGTCCCAATAAGAGGAGATTTTACCGTTTGTGCCAATATGAATAAAATGACTTCGTGCCGACTGAAATAAGAGACTCTCACTTACGTGTGGCCTTAAAAGATAATGAGCACAAGGTGGGGAGGTGGGCAGTAGGGGAAGTCAGTGGCCAGAGGGCACCGAGCTGCAGCTGTGCAGGAGAAAAGAGCAGAGCAGAGCACACAGTGCAATGACTGGAGATCCAGTCTGTGAGCAGAGACGCTTCGTCACCGATCTGCTGAGGGACTTTAGAGAGTGACTGCTTCTTTGTTACCAGCTTTCTCATCTGACAACGGATGGCAATCAGGAGACCCGCTTTGAGCTAAGGAGTATGAATGACTGTACCCAGTACGAATAGACACATCACTGCTACTGCCACGATGACCTGCGGCAGTCCCCTTCGGTAGTAGAACCAAGCAGAACTCTCTTTCAAGAAGGTCTTGAACCTTGGGTTCCCTGGTTCTCTCAACTTGTCCAGCACTTACCACCATGGGCGCACATCTTCCTCTCCTGGAAGGCCCCTCTGGGCACTCTCAATGAGGCTTGCTCCCCCCGCCTCCTTCTATGTTGGTGACTTTGCTCCTTTCCTCTCTGTCCTCTAAACAAATGATTCTACTAGAAGACAGCCCAGATCCCCAACTCTCCTCCTGTTATGCCCATGAGACAGTTGCCTCAAATTTCCCCAAGCTCCGAGGCTGTATTTCCATTCTCCCACTGACACCTCTACCAGAATTCTCTCTGAGAGACTGGAGACTTTCCCCAACCATTTATCTGCCATCTTCATAGTCCAGGTCACAATGACAGTGTCATTTCTGGTCCTGCTTTCTTTCTAACCATTCATGAGTAGGTCCTGGAACTTCCCTCATCTCTGTCTCTTCTCTTCCAAACTCTCTACTTTCCCTCCTACCTGCACCTGTAATGGTTTCCCATTCTGTCCATCCTGATCTGATTGCTTTGATCATGCTGCTTCTCTGTAAGGATCAGTGGTTCCCTATAGTTGCCTTCTGCAAACACCAACCTCCATAGCTGATGCCTTGATTCACTTCTGTCCCCAGCTTCTCACTAAACACTATCTCGTATCCTGTCTGTTAAGACCACAGAGTTCTCCTTCTTTTCCCCCACGAATTCAGGCTGTCTGTCGGTGGCTCTGACCCCTTACAGCTCCACACCGGCTTCTTGGCATCATATTTCACTCTGAGGCAGGGCGGCTGCAGCCCCACCTCTTCCCCACCAGAGTATGGCTGTGCTCCAGCTATGCTTGGGCTGTGGCTTGCATCCAGACTGCAGTTTGTACAAGCAGGTGCCTAAGAAATGTCTTTGAATGAAAACTCAGGACTGCCTTCAAGTGCCTTTTTGGAGCTCATCAGATAGAGCTAATAACTAAAACCTTCTATCTGGTGTATACTCTAGCCAGGACATAAATCTTGGTCATGGGTTTACAAACTATTGCGCTGGGAAAGCCAGAGGTCGAAAGGGGACTTGAATCAAGGTGGTGATGACATGGTTAGTGCCTTGGCAGACCCCAGGTATGGTCCTTCTCTCCCAGGGTTTACAGTCCCTGGCTAGCACAGCAGAGCACAGACTGAAGGAGCAGCTGAGGGTCTAGGCTTCTGCCTGCTTCAGTAGAGAGGGATTCTAGGATTGGCCTTGCAGAGTTCTTAATTCAGCCACCCTATTCTGCCGCTGAAAATGGCCCTGGAAGGAGACAGACTGGGCACAGCAGTCGCTCACCTTCAGCCAGCTCTACTGCACTAACTTCTAAGCCTCAAACAGAGACTATTCCACTCACAGGCACAAAAGAGAGTGAATCTCCGCAGGGATCTGCCCCCACCCTCCGTAGTTCCCCCAAAGACCAGCAGACAAGGAATGGGGTGCAGATAAACACACAGATGCAATCTCTAGAGACTGCTCCACAGCCTTTGGTTGCTCCGCTCAGGCTGGCCTTTCTGGATGAGCTCTGCTGGCAGTGACAGATACCCAGAGCAGAACCTGACAGTCTCTCTTGGTAACGGAACTCTGGCTTCAAAAGGCAAAGGAGGGCATCACCCACTGACCTTATTCCCTTAGAGAAGCACTCCGACCCTACTCGGCCGAGTTTAAGATAAAAGGGGGGGAAAGGCAAGTAACTCACTGCGGTGATAAAGAGCGCTTTGGAAAGGCACTTGACAGGCACCGAAGCTTGGGGAGGCGCTGGCCAATGCAGCCAGCGCCCGAACCCCCAACCCTGTGCAGGTTCCCCCTTCCCAGTACCCAGGCGCTCCCTCTCGCCACAGCTGAATCTCCACATCCATGCGCTAGGGCCTGGGACCCCCAGAAAACTGCATTCCCGCAGTACAACCGGGGTTCTCCGGCTGGGCGTGGGAGGGGGCAGTCTCTGCCCCTGGCACCTCTGCCCTCCTCGTAGCTCTTCCGGTAACTCAACGGCTCCCTACTCTCCCGAGGTGCAGGCAAGTCGCTGCCTCCAGCACGCAGCAGCCCCGCACCAGGCCCCGCGTCCTGCGCCCCTGTTCCGGGGACTCTCCCAGCCCTCTTCCTGGGGCGCGCCTCGGCCACTCTCGGGATGCTCCTCTTCTCTCCCCCACTCTCCCCGCTCCCTGGCCGGTCCCCTTGGAGGGGAGTGCCCGTCAGGGAGGAGACCGCGGGCAGCCCTTCCACCAGCCGCTCGCATCCGGCCCGAACCCGCTAGGAGGGCGGCGTGCAAGTGCGCTCCGGGGTCTGCGCGGACCTCCCCTGCCTCGCCCCTGCCAAGCTCGGCTGGGGTCTCCGCGGGAACGGTCCTGCGGGTGTCCTGGCCACAGGCGAGGCAGTGCCGGGCGGAGGAGGGATGCAGGACCAAAGCCTACTCTCCGGGCAGCACCGAGCGGCGCGCCCCAGCCCAGCTCTGCCCCAGGTCGCCACGACTCCAGCTCAGCGGTCCCCAGGGCCCCTCGGTACTCACAGGCCGGAGCCCGGCAGCCGGGCGGATCCCGCTGCAGGGGTAGAGCGGCTCCCGCGCCCCGTGGACGCCCCCCCGGCCCCGCGGGCGGCGCTGCGGCTCCGCGCCCGCTCCTCGCGTCCGCGCTCTCCGCCGCCGCTGGAAGGTCACCCTGCCCGCCGCCCGCTCGCCGCGCCTCCGGCCCCGCGGACCGCAGGATGCGCCCCGCGCGCCCCGCCCCGCGGCCCCGCGCTCCCGCGCCCCGCGGACCCCCGCCGCGCGCCTCGGGCCTGGCGGCGGGCAGGGGTCGGAGGAAGGCGCCACGCGTGAAGGCAGAGGGGGCCGGGTGCAGGTGGGCGGGTGCGGGCTCGCCTTAGCGCCAGCGACTGGCCTCGGGTCTTCTCCCGGCAGCTGGTCCGCCCAGGGCAACCCTAGTTTGTTTCCACAAGCATCACGGGTCCTCACTCCGAAAGAGCAGAGCGGAGGTCGGACCCGAGCCCGCGGCCCCGGAGTGGTGATGTCTCTCTCAAAGGCGCCCGATGCTCGGGTCTGGATACTTTCCGCAAAATCCCGGCTCTTTTCTGAATCTGAAACAGTACAAGCAAGCGTGAAGAAACTCCAGAACCCGAGGGGTGCCTGGTTAGGAGTCAGGGCACAAAGCGGGGAGCCAGGGCGCGCTGGGCGGCAGACACCTCTACCCGAGACACGGCCTCAGGCCACCAGACGGCTTTGGGGAGAGAAAATAAAATGTTCATTTCCGGCTGCCTGAAACTCTACTGCTGGGCCACAGCAATAGTACGGCGGGGAGGGCGTTTGCCTTGCATGCGGCCAACCTGCGTTGGATCCCCGGTATCCCAAATGGTTGCGTCACCAGGAGTAATTCCGAAGTACAGAACCAGAGTAACCCCTGAGCATCGCCGGGTATGACCCAAAAAAGCATGTATAAATAAAAAATAAATAAAATTATACTGCTCATTTTGTTTCTGTTTAAGAAGCAACTTTTCCCAAACTTGAGTAAAACATAATGAATTTGGTAATTAAAAAGTCAGTTTCTGCCCGGAGGGGAAAGGGTGTTGGTCCCTTCCGCCCTCCTCCCTCTGGAAAGAAAGATGGCGGCCACATGGGAGCCTTGTGGACAGCAGGTATGAGCCGGGGGTGTGGGGGCAACTAAAACCTCATGGGAAGGGGGGCGTTCCGGTCCGTCCTTCACGCCCTACCGAGGTCACCAGTCGCCCCCCGCGAGCGGCTCTCCAGCACGGCCACGGCCCCAGAAGCACAAGGACTTAATGCAGAACCCGGCAGCTTGGAGCAGAAAAGTGAACGGACTATGCGTTAATCCAGGCCATCAGGTCTGTCGGGAGGGGAAAGGGTGTTGCCCCAGTCGCCTTCTCCTCTCTGGAAAGAAAGATGGCAGCCGCATGGGAGCCTTGTGGACAGCAGGTATGAGCTGGGGGACTGGGGGGCGACTAAAACCTCATGGGAAGGGGGGCGTTTCGGTCCGCCCTTCACGCCCTACCGAGGCCACCAGTTGCCCCCCACTAGCGGCTCTCCAGCACGGCCACGACTCCAGAGCATAGAAACCAATTTCTTAACTATCTGACTTTCAGTAGAAATACTTCCAGGGTCAATAAGTAAAATAGCAGAAATCCAAAACCAACATATAATTCTTGAACCCAGCTGTAGAAAGCAAATCACTTCACAATGCTTTGTCAGCATGTCTGATTCGGGGGGCAGGGGGGCGGTAAACTCTAAATAATAGTGGTGAATCTTTTATTGAAACAATGAATCTAATCAAAGCAGATAGAGTGTTAACTAGAATTCATCTGCCCCACAGGGACTGGGAGGGGTGGGGGGTGGGGTTTTATTGGGGTTCTTCATGGTAAAAAATAAGTTTTGGTAAAGGGAAATGTGCTTGATATTTGCATGACTGAGACCTAAACCTGAAAGCTTTGTAACCTTTCCCATGGTGATTCAATAAATAAATAAATAAATAAAAATAAATAAATAAAAAATAAAAAATAAATTAAAAAAAAAGTCAGTAAAATATAGTGCTGGAGGGATACCAGTAGGGCACTTGCTCTGCATGCTATCAACCTGGGTTCATCCCCAGCACCCTAAATAATTTTCCTAGCCCTCCAGGAGTTAACCCTAATGCACAGCCAGGAGTAAGCCTGAACACCACTGGGTTGTCCAAAAAGAAGAGAAAAAAAGATTAAATATTGCACTTTTTTAAGTGGGTAGTATGTGTATTTAAGGAAACAATGATACTCATATATCTGATGGTAAAAATCACAAGAAAATACTCTCTGCTCTTCCTTGAGTTCAGAGAAAGGTGAATCAGATCCTTTGATCACAGAGGTAAGGCTCTCTGCACCAGCCCAGGCACCATGTGTCCCTCACCCTGCTCTCCTGGCCCTGGTGTCTGCTACACTCTATCCACCCTCTGAGCACTGGGGACCTCACCAGGCAAGTCTGATCAGGACTGTTCTCTGTACAGACACTGCTGGCTTCCACGCTTCTAGGTTATGTCCAAATTTAGCATGGCCTTTGCTTTATGCCATGCCCCAGTTTTTCCTCTTTCCACCACAGCCCCCATACACATTGCGGCTCTGTCCCCTCCACTCCTGCCAGGTCCTGCTCTGTCCCTGGGATCTCTTCTTTTCCCTGGCATACTTTTTCTCAAAGACCTAAGTTACATTGACTTTTAGTCTGACAATCTCTCAAGTGCCAGGGACTTTCTGTAATGATTGTCCCTACCTATGGCGCTGTGTGAATATGGCCATACTAGTGGCTTCTGAGGTGACTCTTCATGTTTGTCTCCTTTGTAGTTTCAGAATTTGTAAGATAACGTTGGTTTGTCCTTTCTCTCTTGCCACAGGGAGCTTAGGTTTATTGGGTTATACCCATCACAGTGCTCCCGAGTCACTCTCATTCCTCTGTTTATCTGTAAACTCTTCTCCTGCCCTCCTCCCCAGCCAGTTAATCACCTTTTCTCCCTAATCAGATTCTGTTAGCTTGTAAGATCAGATTCTTCTAAGGACACTGAACTTGTATTGTAAGTTATGTCCTTTGCATGGTTTACCTTAAAGCGATGTCCTTTCTGCATGGACACAGGAAGACAGTTAATATTATGCTTTGTAACTTGGGAGTTGATTGACTCCAAATAATATTTACTCCTGGGCATCTGCTTTCTTGATTCAATTGCCCGTAGTTCCTAGCTCCCCCAAAGCAGGGTCCCAACGAGGGACTGAATGGACCCAGGGCAAGCTGTGAGTCACCCTGGCATTGGAATAAGGCAGGTCAAAGTGCCACAATACTCAACTATAAGTTGAGGGCATGGTAATAGACAAATGCTCTAATGATCCAAAGGTAACGACAAGACTAGAACTCTGGTGTGAGATATATATATATATATATATATATATATATATACATACATATATATATATATCGGAATATAAAGTGAGACGTCTTCAGGAAGAACCAAATTGTAAGTTTATATCTCTTACTGTGCTCATACAGAATGACATTGCTAGAAATATTGGAAGTAGATTTACTACAACTATTTAAGTGGATTACTAGCTGAGGAAAGAACACACCCTCATTGGGATCCCACCCTTGAGAGGATCTCCTAGTAATCTGGAGTAATCTCTTTAGATGAGATTTTATTCTTGAGATAATCTCCTGGAGGAGTGGTCTTACCTCTCTTTGTTGATTTGTTAATGTTCAACCCACCTTTGTGTCAACACCCTGCGTGGTGATTGTTGTATAAACCAAGACTGTAAGATCGGAGGGAGCTGGGGCTTGGGCTCAGGCTCCAGAGGGCAGAGTCAGAGGTGAGAGGGGCTCAGGCTTGAGAGAGAGAAGCAGAAGGGGAGTGAAGATTGGAATAAACTACAATTGATACCTCCTGGCCCTTGTTTCCTTCCTTCGCCTGCCCATCGCCATGCCATCGACCTCTCCAGGGTGGGGTAAGCCGCCTGAGACGACCGAACGTGGGCGGCGAAAGAGATAGAACACTGCTGGACTTTTGAAAACACACAAGAATTCCTTGATCATTTAAGGCCTAATTCACTCTGGTCTCTTTGGGAGCTCAATTCCTGACAACAGGCGGTACAAGATCCTTTCGTGTTTGTGGTGACTCGGGAGAGCACTGGCTCTTTGCGACTCTGTAACAAGACACATGGACTATGAGGAGGCTCTGGATTAGAGCATGGGGAGACATTGGAGTTCCCCTACAAAACATGTCCCATGCTGTGGGGACACATGACAGAGTTCAGGCATCCCCAGAAACCACGTCCTATACTGGGGACACGTGACAGCACCAGGTGTTTGTTGTAAGCCACAAACTATGTCCCATGCTGGGAGAACACAGTGACAGGGCACCATGTGTCACCCAAAAACCACGTCCTGTGCTGGTAGAACACAGTGACAGGGCACAGGTATACCCGACAAGCCACGTCCCCATGCTGATGGGACACATGATGTAGCACCAGATATCCCCACAAACCACATTCTGATACTGGTGGCAGAGTGACGGATCACTAAGTGTCTCCACAAACCACATCCTGTGCTGGGGGTGGAGCATGCAGACCAGGCATGGTAGAACAAAGATATTGTGTGTCTGCATCTGGGCTACAAGTTCAAGATCCAAATGCTAGCAGGGCAGTTGGGGCCTGTCTCTCCCTCTTTACGTAGTGTACAACACACTCTTCTGAGGACCATGTTCATATTTGATTAGAGACGACCCTTATGACCTCATTCCTCAAGGCCTCTTAAAAAACTCAGCTTCACAGATAGTACCATTCTGTAGTTGTAGTGTTAGGTTGCAATTTGGCCCATATCATGAGGAACACTCCCAGACTGAGGGCAGGTCTGCACCAGGGGTCCCAGGTTTTATTCCTAAGAAGTGAGACCATGGGTGAGGGGAACTAGAGAGGAGCCCCTTAAAGGGAGTGAGTGTCAGGGGAGTGCAGCAGCCAGCTGCCAGCACTGTTCTTTGGTGAAGGAGCCTCTGCACTGCCTCTGCCACAAATCAGGGTTTGTCCAACATGCTTTAGAGCCACTGCCCCTGAGGGAACAAAGGAAATGTAGGAGATCCAATAGAAAGGCAGACTCTTCTGAGCAGAGGCAGGCAGAAGTA